GGCCAGGGTCCTGCTCTGTGCCCTCCCAACAAACATTCCCCTGCTCTGTGCCCCTGTCCTCCCCTGGCATGCAGAAATCATAACAAAAATGAACCAACACCTTTGTGAGCTGCTCTGCAGGGAGAGGGGTCAGTGCCTGAGGGGCGGCAGGGGCTGGGCACGGACTGGCACGGGCTGGCACGGGCTGGCACGGGCTGGGCGCGGGCTGGCGGCGTTCCTGCATCTCCAGCACCTGCAGCCCACCCCTGCCCAGCCCAATCCCCTCAGAACGGGCAGAGCCCAGCCCCAGCTCCCTGCACGGCTCCATCCAGCGGGGTCTGGGGAGACCACGGGGCCATGGCAACCAGGCCAACAGAGCCGGGTGGGATCTGAACACGAGCCCGGCGCCGGCTGAGCGCTCGGGGTTGTTTGGGGGATCGCACTGCAGGTTTCCATGGAAAAAGCTCCCTCAGAACAGCCTTCCAGACAAATTACTGGGTAAACTGCAGAGGTTTCAGAGCTCCAGCCTGATGGCTTTAATGGGTGCTATCTTGCTGCTGCCAGTGCTTCACAGGTCCAAAACTCAGCTTTGCTGCCTTTCCTCTGGGGTCCTGGATTGTGCCTGTGTTTGAAACAATGGGGGTCCAAGGAAGGGAGCCCATGGTTATTCCATCCCCTGCTCAGCAATCCAGGCAGCAAACAGGGAATGTGCAGAGGCAGCAGCAGGGAGAGAGCTGAAGGCAAACCCTGCTGTTCCCCAACAGGAGCCTGCCTCTGTGCTCTGGGTGACCCCCACAGCTCCCTGTGCTCACTGAGGACTCCCTCGGGCTCCTGTGCCAGCCCTGGGGCTTTGTCTCCCCTGGCACCCTCTAACCAAGCCCCTGTGCCATCCCTGGGGCTTTGTCTCCCCTGGCACCCTCTAACCAAACCCCTGTGTCCTGCAGTGGGTCTGAGGAGTGGAGGATGCAATCCCATCCCATTCCATCCATGGGCTCCATCCCAGCACAGCCACCCCACATCCTCCCACCCCACCCAGGAATGGGGAAATTAATGGAAACACTGACTGGGGGGGAACTAACCCCAGCTAGGTGTAGGCAGGAGGATCATCTTCAAATTCAAACTCTACATTCAGGCCTGAAACAGCACTAAGAATAGGATTGAGGCAGAATTAGGCCTTTTAAGCTCAATTAAAGCTCAGGCAGAACATGAAGATCATCAGCACACGAGTGAAGATCTCTTGATTGCTACAAATTTATTCTGAATTAACAGTGGTGGGAAGGAGGGAAGAATTAATCCGATGATGTGGGCTTGCACTGATCAATCATTTGTAATTATTATCTTCTCTTTTGTCAATAGGCACACTGGAAATTTAATTCTGATGGTGTATCCAGCAATGACAGGGAAATCACCAGGGATGAAGAAGTGAAATGAGGAGAGGCCCATGCAATTAAAAACCAACAAAACCCACACACAGACTTTGATATTTAAAGCAGATAATTAAATAAATGAATGGAAATAAACTACCCCATGGTGTTGGAATTGTCATCTTGACTGTGCAGACATGTGAGTGCATCAGTGCATTCTGAGTGAGGATGCTGAAATTCCCTGTTACCCAAGGAGTGAGACACAGCAAAGGTTCCCCATGAACGGGGAGGGATCCCGGCCCTGCAGCATCCCCATCGTGGCCGGAATGGATCCCTTCCCCTGCCAGGGACAGAGAGCCCCTGGATCGGGGCTGTGACAGCGGGGAATGTCACTGCAGCCGATGTGGGACACCAGCAGGGAGGGCAGGAGGAGGGAAAGGCTCCCCAGGCCCTGCTGCAGCCCAGCAGCAGCTTTGGGTGCAGCAGTGGCACCGTGGTGCTCGGGTGTTTGCACAGCACTGCAGGACCCGCATCCAGCAGGGATTTCTGCAGGGACAAGGTGTTAACAGCGGCAGGGGGTGTGGATCCCCATCCCTGGAGTGCCCAAGGAATTCCCGGCCGTGGTGCCCGCTGCTCTGGGCCGGGACAAGGCGGGGGTCAGGCACAGCTGGGGCTCGATGTGCTGGGAGGGTTTTCCCAGCAATGTCAGGGCTCTGTGCCGGGGTTCTGCAATGGGGTCAGGCACAGCTGGGGCTCCATGGGCTCGGTCAGGAACAGCTGGGGCTCCATGGGCTGGGTCAGGAACAGCTGGGGCTCCATGGGCTCGGTCAGGAACAGCTGGGGCTCCATGGGCTCGGTCAGGAACAGCTGGGGCTCCATGGGCTCGGTCAGGCACAGCTGGGGCTCCATGGGCTCGGTCAGGAACAGCTGGGGCTCCATGGGCTGGGTCAGGCACAGCTGGGGCTCCATGGGCTGGGTCAGGCACAGCTGGGGCTCCATGGGCTCGGGCAGGCACAGCTGGGGCTCCATGGGCTGGGTCAGGAACAGCTGGGGCTGCATGGGCTGGGTCAGGCACAGCTGGGGCTGCATGGGCTGGGTCAGGCACAGCTGGGGCTCCATGGGCTGGGTCAGGAACAGCTGGGGCTGCATGGGCTGGGTCAGGCACAGCTGGGGCTCCATGGGCTCGGGCAGGCACAGCTGGGGCTCCATGGGCTGGGTCAGGCACAGCTGGGGCTCCATGGGCTCGGGCAGGCACAGCTGGGGCTCCATGGGCTGGGTCAGGCACAGCTGGGGCTCCATGGGCTGGGTCAGGAACAGCTGGGGCTGCATGGGCTGGGTCAGGCACAGCTGGGGCTCCATAGGCTGGGTCAGGAACAGCTGGGGCTGCATGGGCTGGGTCAGGCACAGCTGGGGCTCCATGGGCTGGGTCAGGCACAGCTGGGGCTCCATAGGCTGGAAGGGCTTTCCCAGCCACGCCAGGGCTCTGTGCCGGCTCGGAGCACATCGGGAGTGCTGCAGACCCACCCAGTGGAGAGGCTGCAAACAGCAGCGCCCGGCTCCGCACGGCCCGGCCTGCAGCAGCCCGGGACAGCCCGGGACAGCCCGGAACAGCCCGGGACAGCCCGGGACAGCCGCTCTGGCTTTACCCCCGTGTCTGGGCAGCGGCCGGGGCGTGGGGCCAAGGCTCGGGCAGCTCTGTCACTGCCGCAGTCCCTAAAGCCGGTACCGACCCTGAACGCTGCTGCTGGCAGAGCCGGCCCCGGGTGACAGCGGCTGCAGGTGACCCCTCCCGGCCGTGCCAGCCCAGCCCTCGCCCACAGGGCACGGTGCCAGCCCGGTGCCAGCGCACAGAGCCCCGGGGAACGCTCCGGCGCCGTCCCTGCAGCCGGCGCTCTGCAGCTCCACAGCCACGGCGGTGACAGACACTGCTGCACCTCAACAACACAGGGCGGCACGGGATGGGCCCGGGAGGCTGGGACAGGAACGGAACCGAACGGGACCGAACGGGACCGGGGGCAGCAGCTGCCCCACAGCACAGGGGACCTGGAAAACACAGCCACTGCCACTGTCACCAACAGCCCAGGGTGACCACGGACAGACTGGGAAAGGCAACTCACAGCTCCTGCAGGGCAGGGCACGATTTCAGGACTGGGGGATAACAAAAGGGGGTTTGAAAAGGCCACTGCAGCATTTGTTGGGTGCCATAACCTGAGCGACACAAAGGGAGCCACAGCAGGATAACGTGGTGCTGAAAGCCAGGTGAGAAGGGTGGGGACAGACTGTGGGGGAGCTCGGACGTGGAAAGAGAAGTCCTAACTGAGAAAGGCAAATGTGGGAGTGCAGAGCTCCAGCTTCCACTCTTGCCTTTCTATGGGACTGGGAGACTGAATCATCTGAAATGTAACTAAAATTGAAGCAAGAACTAGGACAAAACTTCATTACAGAAAATCGATGGGATTGATTTTGGAAAGGCAATAAAGAGTCGAGGCAATCACATTAATTACGGAACCAGAAGTTTGGGATCTTTAAGACAACTACTCTAGACATAACTGGTTTTTATCAAGTCCTCCACGAAGTCAAGTGTTTGACCACCTGCTCTCATCTGCTTCTCTCTGCTCCCCAGAGACCACTTAGAAATTCAGTTACAAACTGCTAAATTCTGTGAGAGGAAACTCCTGGGTCAGCCCTCACTGCTGGAGTAAACGTGCAGTGTCCTCCACTGCTGACTTTGTGAACATTTAAATCTAAATAAATCCCTTTTCCTATGGTTTCTCCAAACTCAGCAGCTCTATTGCCAGGGCAACACTGAGTTGTTCTTCCTGTGCACTGAGGTCTGCTCATGCTGTGGTGGAAGAAAACATTATTTATAGTATTTTATTACCCAGGTGATCACCCTGGAAGGCACCTATGGAATCACTGCAAGGCTGTAAGAACTTTCCCTCTGGAATGTGCAGGCTAAGCTGAATTAGCTGTTCTCAAAGTACAATATTAGAGTGCTAGAACCTGACTTGCTCAAGCAGCTGAGGGAGCTCTTCTGTGCCCTAGAACTGTGTTAATTTGGCTTATTGGCAATCAATGGTATTGAACTGCACAGACACAGGACAGGAGCTCCCTCCTGCTCTTCACTCACTGTAGCAAACACCAAAGCCACCCAATGAATTCAATTTTAAATGCGATTTTGTTTCAACAAGAAAGTCTCTATTTTAGTAAGTGAACATCAAAAATAAAGGTTAGGAAAATCAAACACCTTTTTCAAAATTTAAGGAAAATTTAATCAATATGCCTTAAATTATTTTACAATAACTACAATACTGACAAGCATAACGTTTTCCAAATGGTGTTTTAATTAGAAGCACTGTGAGAGAGATTCCTCTTCATCCACCCAGCAGAATGTGCACCATGAGGGAAGGAACCTCTGCCCACGTCCTTCAGAAACCCCAGTTAACATAAAGCTACAGACACCCCAATGTGGTCATGTTTCAAGTGTGACAGAATCACAGATCCCTTTCACTTTTAAGCATCTGTTTTCTACTTCATAATTTAAGTATCTTAAATCCTGAAATACTCTCACAGCAAATGAACAAATAATTGAGACTGGAGAGCTTAGGAGGATATTGGTTAAAATACAGGAAATACTCTTATTACTTTTGTTCATTGGTGAGAGGGGTCAGGAAACAGGTTCCCCTTTCCTGCAGATTTATCCAGAGTCCCCCAAATCCACGGCAGCTCCTTTAACTGTTTTGGATAAAAATCTACCAATTTGCAACTGCAACCCTTCGCCCTCCCCTACAAAACAAAACAAAACAAAACGAACAAAAATCACAACCCTCAAAAAAACAACTGAAAGTTACTTTTTCTAAATATCTAGGAATGGGAAAGAAATCACAGGAACTTGATAAGCATGAACACGTATTAAAGCTCTGGACTCTCCAAGTCATTGAAAACAGTATTCAAGGTCCTAAAAAAGTGAACACGAGACATTTTCCATTGTTCCAGGTGATTCGAAGAGGTCTAAGTTTCATGATAGCAACACGAGACAGTTGTTTGCAGCTGTTTCTGGTCCGAGTCCATGTTCCACGCTGGGATTTTCCTTTTGGCCCCCAGAGTCTGTTCAGAAGACGGAGATGAGGGCGAAGACTCCGTACAGCAACGCGCAGGGATAGGCCACGAGCAGCTGCTGGCCCTCCATGGCTAAGGCAGAGATAAAGATCTTGGAAGCAGAAAAGCTGCACCAGCCAATAATTCCAGCCGTGAGAATAATCCCCATCATCCCCCTGCAAAGGCAGAAAGAACAGAATTCCTGTGAGCCCTGGGAATGTCCACCTGCAGGAGTCACACCTGGATTCATCAACACCTTGTGCAGGTTCTGGGATGAATTTCAGCATTTGGCATTAACTGAAATATTCCCACTAAAAGCACTGGGAAAGCCCTGGCACAGGTGCCCAGAGCAGCTGTGGCTGCCCCTGCATCTCTGGCAGTGCCCAAGGCCAGGCTGGGCAGGGCTTGGAGCACCCTGGGACAGTGGGAGGTGTCCCTGCCATGGCAGGGGTGGCACTGGATGGGCTTTCCCAACCCAAACCATTCTGGGATTCTAGAATTTTAGAAGAGTATCAGTCAATTATGACGGTAGAAAGCCCCCTCAGAATTAACTCTATGCATATGAAAATTTCAAAGCAGTGAATATAAATTCTCTGCCAAGCCGTTTCTTTTCAGTCCCTAAATTCGCAGAACCAAGACGAATCATTCAAAATTTCTTGTATTTGTATAATCCTAATTTGTGTCTTCAATAATAATTACTTTCAGACTTTACAGGTGCTGAGACCTGTCAGATTCAGAGCTGGCTGAAAACAAACCTGAGCTTGCTCTTGGAGCCTAGGTATTCAAAAGCTGTTTAATGACTTAGAGGTCAAGCCAGGATTCACCCCCTTCCCCCAGTAAATACCTGAAGGCACTGATAATTAATTCTCGCCCTTACTGAAGACTCCTGCCACACTCAAACGACACACAGCTGCAGCACTGAGCGTGCAGACTCCTCCCAGAGATTCCCTCCCGTGGCAGCAGGGCCCCGTGCCCAGGGGCACACAGCAGCACTCACTGCAGCGAGAAGACGATGGCGAAGGAGGAGAGCAGGATCATGGGCAGCAGGCAGTAGCCCAGCACGCTGGCCACGCAGCCGAAGGACACCCCGGTGATGCTCATCAGGTTCAGCAGGCAGAACATGCCCAGGCAGCCGATGGCGCTGATCCCGTACACGTACCCGAACTGGATCTTGCCAGCCTGCGGCGGGCACAGCACGGGTCAGCACAGGATGGGGTTCGGGATGGGGTCAGGATGGACGCAGCACAGGATTGGGGTCAGGATGGAACCAGCCCAGGACGGAACCAGCCCAGGGAGCACACCCACCCACCCTGGAACACAGCAGGGTGGGCACAGGCACTGTTCCCCAGCCCCAGCTCCCTCACTCCCATCCCACGGGGAGTGTTTCCCCCCAGAGTCCCAGACATCTCATGCTCCAGGAGCCTGGAATTCCTCCTGACTCTGTGGACCTTAACGAACAGGTTCGGATCTGGTTGTTCCCTGATCTCAGCCCAGCAACTGTTTAGGGTTTATCAAGGACTTCTCATGCTGATTGATTATTTGCAATAATGATCTCTACAGAACTGGTATGTAAAGACAACAAAACTGTAATTCAGGAACTTCTTGACAAACCCAGAGCTGAAGCCCTTTAATTTGTGGTAGAATGCACAAAGTTATGGCACAAAGAAAACCATTTTAGAAATCCCAGGAACAGCTGAGGCTGAGCTGCCAAGCACTGTGTGTGAACTTGGGATTAGCTGAGGGAGATTTTAAAAAGCCAAACCCAAATTTGCTTGTTCAGAAGCACAGGGGAAGCACATGTGGCTTATGTCCATGTATTCAGGGCATCTCCTGGTTTTCCCAGGCTGAGACTGCTGCCTCCCCTCCAGCACCTGTCCCAGGCACCCTGCAGGACAGGGGGCTGTGCAGCTTCCAGTGTCCCCCTCCAACAACTTCCCACTGGATGTGCTTAGACCCAGCTCTCCTCCTTCCCAAGCAGCACAGGAAACAAGCACAACCGTGCAACCTCTGAGCCAGGCTCAGCCCACTTCCTTCCACAACATTCCATGGATTTTTTTAAAAAGCACACAGGAGAAATAATTTTTTGGGAAAAGAAAATCGAAACGTATCTATTCTAAACATGTTCATTAATTTGACTGGCCTACTTTCCATAAATAGAAGTTACTTATTAAAGTAGGCTTGAAGGCCCCTTGGTACCAGAGTGTGTTTTAACTGTCACAGCAACGTGAAATTTCAGGCAGAAATGACAAGCAGTGCCTGAAGCATTTAAAGCTAGAACAGATTAAAACCCCTGAAGCTTTCACTGCCAAGGAACACTGTTTGCTGTCATCTTTGAGCCATTAAAGCACAATTATTCCAATTAAGCCCAGTTAGAAAAACTGACCAGACTCCAGCAGTGCCAGCCCCACGGAGCAACACAAGCAGTGTGGGAGCAGGTTTGCTCCAGAGGGAGCTGACACTGAGATCCCACCTGGTGTGACAGAGCTCACCCACCCAACAGTGTGAGGCCCCGGCGCCTCTCCCATGCGCACACAAATTTCTGTGCTGTGCAGGGCGAGCAGCTGGCCTCTGACGATCCCTGGGGGTCCCTTCCCACCCAGGACACTGCAGGGGCAGGATGGGCTTTGCTGGCCCCGTGCCCAGCCCCAGGAGCCCTGCAGGTAATGCAGGGTTCCCCTGGCACGTTTCCCAGCAGAGCTGTGCCCAGCAGCCCCCGTGGCAGTGCCTCACCAGCAGCAGGGTGGCCCCAAAGGCCAGGCAGAACACCATGGGCCCCGCCAGGTCCGTCTCGTTCATGATGGTGCCGTCAGCCACCTTCAGGGGGTGCAGCACCGTTAGTGTTTTCTGCCAGATGTGGTCGAAATTGATCCCCAATTCTGCAAGGGAACACAACGCGGATTTCATTTCTTCCCTTCCTGGCTGCCCCACTGGCTCCCCCCTTTGTGTTCCCTGCCTCTCCAGTTCCCATCTCCCCCAGATCCGTGGTGGGCACCAGGGCATTGAGCCCTCCCCTCTCTCCTCCTGCTGCCTGCACACAGGCCCAGTTCCCTGATCCTGTTTTATTCATATAAATATATTAACAAAAAAGGTAATGATACCTTCCAGGTGGTGGAAGGTATCATGCCAGGGGACAGGTGACAGGTGTGACAGATGCCACCCTGTAACAGGGACAGTTTATTCAGTTGTTGGGAAGTGAAAAATAACAGAAATAAGCTGGAATCTGATCCCAGCAAGCCAAACTTAGCTGAATATCCAGCCTGGCACTCTGCACAGGCTGTACTCCACACAGGCATTTCTGCAGTGTTTAGCACTCCTTGTTAGCAATGAAACATTCCCATTCTAACCAAGAATCAACTCACAGCACCTGCAGGCACTTACTTTACAAAGTGGGCAGTTACAATTATTATTTGCAACGTGAGGAATATTGAGTGTTTTGCCACAAAGTCGGGTCTCCCAGTTAACTGATTTAATCTGGTGTGAAGCAAGAAAGTACAAATTCCCAACTGCAGAAGTTCACACAAGAACAGGGATTTCACATGCCAAAATACAGGTTACAAGAATTAATGAGAATTACAAACGCACGGAGCAGTCGCAGCAGCAGGGAATGCACACACTGCTACCAACTTACCCCCAAACTAGGAGGAGTTCTGGATTTAGGCCACAGCAAAGTTATACCTTCTAATAGCGGAGGCTCGTCCTCAAAGTTGCTTCCATAAAAAGACTGTGCTGAGGCCGGGGTGTAGCCCTGCGTGGGCTGGTAGATCTGCCCCGTGTAGGGCTGCTGCTGCTGCATCATGTCGTGGGGCACAAAGCCAGCCTGCTGGGGGTACTCGTAGCCTCCATAGGGCCTGCAAAGCACAACCCCACGTTAGGGACACCCGGAGCTGCTGCTGAAACACCTCCTGCGAGGCAGAGCTTCTTCCAGCCAGTATGTCACAGCCAACCCTTCCATCTCTCTCAAAAAGTTCCACAACGTGGTCCCATAGGTCCTCCACAAAAAACCCCAATCAAAGCCACCCTCTGCCCCAAACAACTCTTCAGGTATTCCTGCCACTAATCTATCCCAAGTCTCACCACAGAGATTTCCATAAACACTTCCAAAACCTTTAACTGTGGAAGCAGAAGGAAAATGCAGAACTCCTCGTGTCAGCAGAGTCCAGCACAGGGGCACATTTGGTCAGGTCACAAACGGCACTGAGCTGCTCACCCATCTCAGGGATCACACGGAGGGAAGCAAAGCCCTCAGCCTGAGGCTGGATGCTGACATGGGGCTGCCAGGATCCCCCTGCCCCAGGAACACCCTCCACACCTCCCTGCTGCAGCCTGGGAGCCACCAGGACACTGCAGGCTCACTAAGGTGACACTAATTCCTAGTTCCCAAGTGAGTGGCTGGAGATGGAGCTGCAGAAGAACAGTATTTCTTCTCCCAAGGACATGCAGATCACTCATATAAAACTGTTCATTTGGCTTGTCCTTTAATCTTCTAACACTTGCTCTAAATCTACCAGGCAGAGAATTGAACACAAAATTCCTTCAGATCTCCATTTACAGAGAGTTCAGCTCTCCATCCAACAGAACAACCTGGACTCATTTCCAGAAACCAGCAACTGGCTGAAGTACCAAACCTTTCCTGGAGACACAGACTGTCCCAGAAGTACCCTAAGGAAACCTAGAGGAGAGCTGGAGAGGGACTTTGAACAAGGGCCTGGAGTGCCAGGACAAGGGGGATGGCTCCCCAATGCCAGAGGGCAGGGCTGGATGGGATATTGGGAAAGAACTGCTCCCTGGGAGGGTGGCAGGCCCTGGCACAGGGTGCCCAGAGCAGCTGCGGCTGCCCCTGGATGCCTGGCAGGGCCCCAGGCCAGGCTGGACAGGGCCGGGAGCGCCTGGGAGAGCGGGAGGGGTCCCTGCCATGGCAGAGGGGGACGGGCTGAGGTCTGGGGTGCCCCAAGCCGAGCCCCGGGATGCCGTGCCCGGCAGGGCACACGAGTTACTTGCTGTACGGCCGCCCGCTGTAGTCGTAGGGCTGCGCCTGGTCCTCGATGCTGTAACTGGTCTGGAAGAATTCGGTGTTGAAGCCGTCGAACCCGGACATCGCCCCCTCTGCAAGAGACCGGCGAGGCGGGTTGCGGCCGGCCCGAGCGGCCCCGCGCGGCGCTGCCCGCCGGCCCTCCCGCCGCTCGGCCCCGCCGCGGGTCCGGGACCTCGCGCTGCGCCCCGCGCCCCGTTCCCTGCGCCCCGGGCCGTCCGTGCCCCGCGCTCCCTGCCGGGGTCCCGGCCCCACCTGCGGCCCCGGCCCGGCCCCGCTCCCGCCGCCGCGGCCCCTGCGACGTGTCACGGCCGCGCCTCCACTTCCGGGACACCGCGCGCCGCTCCGCGCACGCGCGGGACGGGACGGCCCCAGCCCGGCCCTCCCTCGGCCCCGGCCCCGCCCCAGCCCAGCCCGGTATGGCCCTGGCCCTCCCTCGGCCCCGGCCCCGCCCCAGCCCAGCCCGGTACGGCCCCGGCCCCGCCCCAGCCCCGGCCCCGCCCCAGCCCAGCCCGGTATGGCCCCGGCCCCGCCTCAGCCCCGGCCCCGCCTCAGCCCAGCCCAGCCCGGCCCGCCCCGCCTCAGCCCCGGCCCCGCCTCAGCCCAGCCCGGTATGGCCCTGGCCCTCCCTCAGCCTCGGCCCCGCCTCAGCCCCGGCCCCGCCTCAGCCCAGCCCGGCCCGGCCCAGCCCGGCTTGGCCCCGGCCCTCCCTCAGCCCCTCCTCAGTCCCTCCTCAGCCCAGCCTTCCCTCAGCCCGGCGCTCCCTGGAGCCCAGGTTCAGCCACACGGGGTCGGTGTGGCTCCGGTGCAGCGGCTTCACTCCCTTTCATAAGTCTACAAGAAATATTTTCCTGTGCCACACGAAAATAGCTTTGCTAGAGCTGTGAATCTCCTTGTATCACAGCCCGGCTGTTGGCCCATCCCTACCAAATGAGCTGGCGGACCTGGGAATGCGGGGCCGCTGGAGGAGCTGACATGACTGGCACTGTGAACACGCTCTCATGTGGAGAAGCTCCTTTTAGGGTCACTCACTGCTTATAAACAGGGCTGGGGGAAAGGATTTCAGCAGCCTTTAGAAGCCTCTTAACTAGAATTTATTTTTATTAACTCACTCATGTCCCGGAGCTGAGCACAGGGAGGAGCAGCCCTGCTTTGTGGCTTGGGTGGGCTTTGAGGCAGCAGTCAGAAAACCCTGGCTGGGGAAATGCAGCTGAAACTTCCCAATGAGCTCAGTCAGGGCTGCTGCTTTATCCCTGTTTCACACCTCGCTGAAGGGGTGTGTGGTGGTGAGGCTCAGAACTACCCCAGAACCATTTCCATCCCATGCGTGATGTGCTCTGAGCTCTGGCAGCCTCCTGGAGCCGAGCGCAGCCGTGGGGGCTGTCATGGTTTAGGCCTGGCACAGAGCCAGTGCCCCCTGAGAACCCGACATTATGCAGGCCATGTTCCTGGTTTGAGTATGTGTAGGTTTTTCCTTTGGTTTTTTAAATTCATTTTGGCTCAGGACGCAGTTACAGTCATTTTGTTACAAACTTGTGTATGTAATATTCTGCCGTTAAAATGGCTGTATTTAAATCGCAGCCCTGTTCCAAGCCTCACCTGCAAAGCAGATCTGACGGTGCAGAGTCCATGGCACTGCTGAGAACAGGCTCCCAGGAAATGTGTCACTTTGTAGAGCTGAATGGAGTACAGAGGAGAATTGCAGCCACGGAAAACAGAGATCAGTAACTGTGCCGTAAACTGCTTCATGCAAATTTACGCTTTAGGAGAATGAGTGTTTGAAGGCTGAGACGATGCCAGCGTTCATGCGAGAGCTGCACAGTGTGCGGGCTGCACCTGATGGCTGCGGCTTAGCGCCCCTGGGCTGAGCCGTGTGCCTCGCTGCAGCTCACTGGGCAGGCAAATGAGACACAAACCCCAGGCACTGGGCTGTGCAATTGGGACCTGCTGGGGAAACGCTCTCTGCCGAGAAACCTGTTTGGGTTTGCTTAGATTATTAGAATTTCCTGACAGCTTAGGTCGAGCTTTCATTGATGAGCTCTCCCTGCACCAGGCATCTCAGCACTGCTGTAGGGAGTCACTGTAGGGATGGAGTCTCAGCCCTCCGGGGCAGGGGGTGCTCTGACACAGCCCATCGGGTCAAGGGGAGGGCAGGCACTGCTGCTGCACAGCTGCTCCTTCCCGATGCTTTGGGAAGGGCAGCCTATGGACTGCCTGGAACTGCAGTCTGGGGAGGCACCAAACACCAAACACCAAACGCCAAACACCAAACGCCAAACACCAACACCGTCCCTTTGCCATTCGCCAGCTCCAGCTGCACTGGGGGCTACCACACAGTGCCAGAATCCCACACTGCTTTGGGGTGGAAAGGACCTTAAAAGTCATCCCATCCGTAGCCCAGATTGCTCCAGGCCCCACCTGGCCTCGAACACCACCTGGACAGGGAATTCGGATTTGCAGGAGACCTTGAAATGACTTCAACCTGGAAAGAGTAAAAGTACTCCTAAAAGTACTCGGTTAGTACACGGGTTACACAGTGCTGGTGTCGTGATAATGCTACCAAAGCTTTGTTTTAGCTGTGATGTTAAAAAACACACTTTAATTATACCAGTGTTGATAACAGAATAATTTGAATCAGACTGAGAATAAAAGTATTATTCAAAGAACTCTGGAGGAATGGGAGGATGGGGAAAGGGAGAGGAGGAAGATGTCTGCTGAAATAGGCATTCTTATGGCAGAACTGGAAAGGGAGGAAGGAAAGACCTTGCAGAGGGGAGACTGAAAACAGCGATTTTTGTTTGATTTTAATCCTCGGTTGCTGATGTGTCCATGGGGTCTCTGCCTGCCTGTATGTGCTGATTCTCTTGCAGGGTCAGGGCTGTTTGTGTAGCAGATTGCTTTGTTGAAGAGTGGCCATGGAATTCCAGAGGAGTTGTCAGCACACATATATCAATTATTCTCCAGAATGTTCCCCGATGTGCAGTGATTGATATGGAGATCACTGGAACATGATTCCCTCACACTGTCACCTTTTGGAAGGCTCAGCCCTTGTGCTGTGCGTGTGCTGTGGGTCTGGTGCTCGCCAGAAGGAGTAAAGAGTTGCTGTGACCCCTCTCTGTGTGACACACCGTTCCAGAAAGTGATGTCGTGTCTCCATTTGAGCCCTGCTCCCAGCCTGTGCTCGCATCCTGAGCAGCTGGGAAAGCTGCTCTTCCCCTTTGCTTGTTTGGGATGGAAATACATTATGCACTTGAGTTATGAATAAAAGATCAAGGGCAAATCTGCGTAATGCTTTACTCTGTGAACAAACCCGCCTTCATGGCACTCACGCTCTTTGCTGGAAGATCCTTTCTCAGGGACACTCAGCCATTTAGTGTTGCTTTATGCTTTTTCTTCAAAGGGAAAGATTTGTTAGGGCTTCCCATTCGCACGTACTGCTGGATTTGAGCAGATGAGAATTTCACTGTGTGTAATTCACACTGCTGGATCAGGGGATAATCTCTGATTTAGCTCGGTAGCACTTGTTCCTGCCTGGCTTGCCTTGCAGGGAGCTCGGGAGCTGGCTGATGGGAAGGACACAGCCCTGCTGGAGAGGTGTCTGGGTTAGGGGGCTGGAACTCGCTGGAGTCTGGGCCTGGCTCCTCCCAGGCTCTGCTCTTTGCCGTGGTTGGGGCTGGATCGGCAGTCCTGGCTGGGAGCACCAGTGCAGGACACGGTTCCTGCCTCTCAGGGAAACCACCGGCCCTCATGATAGACCCAGTGCAGACATTCCTTGTTCCTCTGCCGTGCCACCCTTCTCAGAAACTGCCCTCTTCTCGCTGGCTTGGTGGAGTTCTGCCCTGGGAAACATTGCTGGGCTCAGTGCTCAGACACCAGCCTGCTGAGAAGCACAGAATGTTACAGGGAACAGGGCTGAAGGATCCTTAGGTGGCACCTTGAAGTTATTCCTGAATCAAAGTGCAAGCCTGGAACTGGAAGTGCTGTTCTTCTTTCTCCCTTTTTTATTTTAACTATTGTGTGTAAAGAGCACACAGAGCGATTAAAGTTCTCAAGTGGCTTTTTAGGTGGAATCTTCTATCCAAAATCCAACTTGAATGTATTTTTTCCTCAGAATTACTACTTCAGTTTCTGCTTCTTTCAGTTGCTCCTTCTCCAGGCACCTCAAAGCTCTTGTGTTGTTGCTGATAAACAGCTTCCATGTTTCTTACTATGTGTGGGCGACTTGATTGGAATTTCCAGCCTGTGTGTTTCCTCTGGAGATGGGAGGTGATACACACACACTCACTCTGCTACTCCGGCCCAGGTAACACTGCCCTTCCTTTCTAGCCCTCACTGCTGCTGCTTTTCAGACACCCATTTCTAACACCCACCAAATTCAATAAAGTCACTTGTTCCACGATTTCCTGAAACGCCAATGTAGCACTTTGTCATAAGGAATGACCTCAGACCTGTGAATGATGTCACAGCATTCATGGATTGGCTTCCAGCACAGCTATGCTGGGGCTTTTGGAACACACACTTTAAGCTCAGGCTAAATTTTCCCTTGCCTGTGCTGAAGGTTATGAAGGCATCTGTCAGAAGTGAGAAGTGCTTCCTCCTCCTCCCTTTGATGGATACTGCTTTTCTCTTCCATCAGAGCTGTGGTTGCTCCTTGGTGTGGTCCTGACACGTATTTTACATTTAGGTCACCATGTATTTGGCCCAGATTTTAAAGTTTCACTCTGTCAAGCTGCATTTTGATGGATTTGGCCCATGGCTTGTATTTAGCTGGGGAGCATTACGTGATGCTTTTACTCCTGAAGTCATTTCATCAAAGGAAATTGTGTTACAGTGAAATGATTGGAACGTCCCATGTGAAGAAATAAAAGCAGGTGCTGAATTGCTTTCATTACTATTTGAAAAGTGCAGTTGCATTTCTAAAGCTGTTGTGATTAAAATTCTATGGGTTTTGTTCTTTTCAAAGGGCAATTCTGATGATAATGTTTCAAAAAGACTTTGAGCTTAGAGCTGTGTCTCCTGGCTAATCACAGGGAATCCGTGCCTGCTGCTCGTTAGAGCTCGTCAGGAGTCCCAGGTGTGGGTAGCTCCTGTCCCTGCTCGCTGGGCACCTGCACATCCCCAGGTGTGGGTAGCTCCTGTCCCTGCTTGCTGGGCACCTGCACATCCCCAGGTGTGGGTACTCCTGTCCCTGCTCGCTGGGCACCTGCACATCCCCAGGTGTGGGTAGCTCCTGTCCCTGCTCGCTGGGCACCTGCACATCCCCAGGTGTGGGTAGCTCCTGTCCCTGCTCGCTGGGCACCTGCACATCCCCAGGTGTGGGTACTCCTGTCCCTGCTCGCTGGGCACCTGCACATCCCACTGCTGTGGTGTCCTGGCCCCAAGCAGTGTGGGCTGAGCTCCACCCCCAGCCTCGGGCCGTGGCTTGTTGTCACAGGGACATCACAAACAGGGACATCACAAACGCTGCCGTGCCAGTTTGAGCACCATCAGCTCTTACTGGGGACAGGGAATGGATTCCTCAAGCCCTGCCAGTATGAAAATGGATTTTAATCAGATTGCAGCGTATGAGCTAGCACGGCCAACTGAAATGTTTGCAAAAGCTGATGCAATTCTCCCTGCTGTGAACAGGGACAGCACTGACACTCCCAGAGGCAGCTGTCGATCCCCCTGGCTGGTCACGCAGGTGTTAAATCCTGTCTGCACCGACCGCACCAGGCTCTTAAAAAAGTAATGAAGACATTTAAGCGAACATGATCTCACATGCCACCTTTAAATCCTCTGTGCAGGGGTTGTGGAGCCCCTGACCTGCACTGCTTCAGCTGCTCTGCAGAGCCACAAGGGCAGGACACAGGACTTGGGCTTTCCTGAGGCACAACCAGCACACTCTGTAGTGGCACCAGATTCTGCTGGTTTGAAAATAAGGATCCTGAACTGAGAGACAGATTTTGTTCAGGAGTGCAGCAGTTGCTTCAGAATTAATGAATTGAGGTAAAAATCAACAGTTAATTGATTAACTGTTCAGCTTTCAGATTTAATTTGAAAAGTCTGTAGGTACACAAGTAATGATTTTCTGTCTTAGCCTTGAAAATTATTCTTTTGGCTATTTTCTTTTAAATTACGGCCGCGTTTTTAAATTATGGCCATGCTTATTTGCAGCCTCAGCTGGTGCTAATACACCAAGGTTATGGATTCAATTCCTGCGTGGATTTACTTAAGAGCTGGACTCCATGATCCTTGACCCTTCCAACTCAGAATATTCTGTGAATCTGTGAACTTAAGTGCGGTCAGCAAAATCTACCCCTGCATGGTGACTCCATCAGAGAGAGACTTCACTCTAAAGCTTTTAGCCACCTTTGAGTAAAAGGCTTTCTTTTCTCATGTTTTGTTATTCCCAGAAGAGTTTTTTGCCCAGAAGCGGTGTGAGCTGTCAGGGGGCTGTGCTGCCCCGTTCCCGCGGATGCCCGGCAGTGTGGGGTGCTCGGGGGAGCCGCTCCCGCAGCTCCTCCGCTGGGTTTCGGCTGCCGCCGGGATGCCGGCTCCTCTCCCCGTGCCCGCAGCGCCCGGGCCGAGCAGCGGGGACGGACACGAGGTGGCGGTGCGGGCGCGCCCGCGGCTCTCCCCGTGAGAGCCCCGCAAGTACAGCGGGTCCTCCGCACCGCCGGAGCCGCCCCCGGTCCCTGCTCCTCCTCCCGCGCCCCGCGGCCGGTCCCCTCCCCGCCGGCTCCGGGAGATGAGCAGCGGCGGCAGCGGGAGCGAGTCCCGCTCCTGGCCGGCAGCCGCGGCCGCGCGCCGGGAGCCCCCGCGGAGCCGGGACAGGCACGTTGGGGGCGGGCGGGGGACGGGCGCTGCCGGCCGAGGGGACGGAGCGGGAGGGACTGCACCGGAGCTCGGGCGCTGAGCGGCGGGCGGCGCTGCCCGGCCCGGCCCGGCGCTGTCCGCGGTGCTGCCCGGGCTGTGCGCGCCCTGCCGTGCCCGCCTGTGCCGTGCCCGGCGCTGCCCGCTCGCTGCGCTGCCCGCCTGTGCCCGTGCCCGTGCCCGTGCCCGTGCCCGGCGCTGCCCGCTCGCGGCGCTGCCCCGTGCCGGTGCCGGTGCGGGACGCGGTGCCCATCCCGGCCCGACTCCTTTAAGATGATGCAATCGGCATCGCCCTCCGCGCTGGCGGCCCCGCGCCGCTGAGCGCTGAGCCGAGCCCGGAGCGCGCAGCGGGGCGGAGCGGAGCCGGCGCGGGGCGGCCCCGGCGGTGCCCGCGGTCCCGGGGGCCATGGGGGAGCCGCCGGCCGCGCTGCCGCCGCGGGAGCCGCCGGAGCCCGGCAGTGCCTAGCGCGGGCTGCGGGCTTTCTGCAAGTCATCGGGGCCGGCCCCCGCTGCCCTCCCGCTCCCCCAGCCCGGCGCGTCCGCTCGGGAATTATTTCATTTATTTGTTTGTTTGTTTATTTATTTATTGATTTTCTTCCGCCGTGCTGTATGTACTGGTTTCCTCGTCACCCGCCACGGTTAACTTCCCTGTGACTCGGTTTAACACTTGAGACCTCCGTGGATGCTGCTAAGAGCACTTCTCTTGCCTTTGCTGTCCCTTGCTGGGATCGGATTCACACTACCCGGACCCTGTGTGGCTGTATGTGTGTTCTGAGTGTCTTGACATTTTGGTTTTCTTTACAAGAGCTATGCATTAATTGTTACCAAGGTAAGACTCCCCGTTCTTGTTCCCTCGTGTGCATGTCTAATTTAGATGTTTCTTTAAAGATGAAGTCTGCCGTTTCTTTTAAACAGTGGAGTCGTATGTAGCCCTTCCATTGATGAATACTTGTGAAATAGAAGTGTAGAACTTGCCAAAATAAAGAGACCTATTTAGCAGATTTAGCTTGGCTCTACAAACTGCTCTGCTTTGCTCTGTTGCAGCAGCTGTGATGCTTAAAGAGTAATTTGTGCCTTGTTTTGCTTCCCCTTTTCACAGACCTGTGAATGACCATAGGCTTGGCTTGACCTTGATTTTGATGGCTTTGTTGGAAGATCTGATGATGTGATTGCATGTCATGAGGTGATTGCTCTCGAGCCTCCAGCCTCCGTGGCTCTGTGCATAAACCACTTCTGCCACACTGTCACTCATGGACAATTCAGATTTTTCTTTTAAACAGTTCTATTGGCTATTTTTATTTTCTCAATTTTCATTTCCCCCTTGTTTCTTCTTAATATTGGGAGCTTTATTCTACCCTCCGATGTGATTGACAGTCCTGCTTCTCCGTGCTGCTGATTTCCAGTTTAAACTACAATGGCTCTAAGCGGCAACTGCAGGACTTACCTTCCTGCCCGGGAGCAGGGGCCGGGGCTGCCCTCCTTCCCCGAGGTGGTGGAGCTCAACGTGGGCGGCCAGGTTTACTTCACTCGCCACTCCACCTTGGTTGGCACCCCTCACTCCCTGCTCTGGAAAATGTTCACCCCAAAGAGAGACACGGCCAACGATCTGGCCAAGGACTCCAAGGGAAGATTCTTCATCGACAGAGATGGTTTCCTGTTCCGCTATATTCTGGACTATCTCAGGGACAAGCAAGTGGTTCTGCCCGACCACTTCCCAGAGAAGGGAAGGCTCAGGAGGGAGGCTGAGTACTTCCAGCTCCCGGACCTGGTCAAGCTCCTGACTCCCGACGACAGCAAGCAAAGCCCTGATGATTATTGCCACAGTGACTACGAAGAGGTGTCCCAGGGCAGTGACACCAGAATCTGCCCCCCCTCACTGCTGCCGCCCGACCGCAAGTGGGGATTCATCACCATCGGCTACCGTGGCTCGTGCACCATTGGCAGGGAGAGCCAAGCAGATGCCAAATTCAGGAGGGTCCCGAGGATTTTGGTTTGTGGAAGGATTTCTTTGGTCAAAGAGGTTTTTGGAGAAAGTTTGAATGAAAGCAGAGACCCGGACAGGGCTCCAGAAAGGTACACCTCCAGGTTTTATCTCAAGTTCAAGCACCTGGAGAGGGCTTTTGACATGTTGTCCGAGTGTGGATTCCACATGGTGGCCTGTAACTCCTCGGTGACGGCTTCCTTCGTCAACCAGTACACAGACGACAAGGTCTGGTCCAGCTACACCGAATATGTCTTCTACCGTAAGTACCGGCCGCACGGGGAGGGGGAGAGCAGCGCCGAGCTCGGGCTGCTCCGTGCCGTTCGCCGGGGGAGCCCGCAGCCGGGGAGCGCCGGTGCCGTGCCCGCCAGGCTCGGGCTGGGCTCAGGTCCGGGGACACCTTTCCGTGCGGGCCGTGCAGGTGGAGCGGGGCTCAGACCCGGGGACACCTTTCCGTGCGGGCCGTGCAGGTGAATTGGGGCTCAGACCCGGGGACACCTTTCCGTGCGGGCCGTGCAGGTGAATTGGGGCTCAGACCCGGGGACACCTTTCCGTGCGGGCCGTGCAGGTGAATTGGGGCTCAGACCCGGGGACACCTTTCCGTGCGGGCCGTGCAGGTGGAGCGGGGCTCAGCTCGGCGGGCCGGGCCTGGCTAGGTGGCAGCACAGACTGCCGAAAGCACCGCGCCTGTGCCCGCAGGACGCGGCACCTCTGGCACTGTAAATCAGCGCCCGCGCACCTCGCACGCTTCGGGATGTGTGGGACACAAACCGAGGGTGCAAACACAGCGAAATTCATTACAGAAAACCTTTGACTGGGCTTCACTTTGCAAAGGTAATAGAGGCTTGATAATCATCAGGCACAGGCAGCCGAGCCATCTGTCAGCAGCCCTGACACGCTTCCACGCAGGGAGGGAAAGCACAATTCCATCCCTCTGGCCGCATTTCAGCGGGGCCCTCTCGGAGCAGCTGCTGCGCTCTGGAATGAGGGCTCGGAGAGGGGCAGGGGCTGGGCCCTGTTACACAACACGCCGTGGAAAGGCAGGTGTCCTCTCCAGGAGCATCCTGTGCCCTGCTTCCCGCAGCCACCCCGAGCCACGCCACTCCTGCCCTGAGCTGGAGCGCTCACGGGCTCGTTATCTTCCCCTGATAGCCAGGTACGGCTGGTTACCAATGGTAACAGCGGGCTAATCTGGGTCCCGTGAGGCTGAACCACAAAATCATTGCACATCTGCTGTGCCGAAACCTTTGAGAGGTTCGTGAGGCTCTTTGCCTCCATTTTCATTTGAGGAGGATGAAGGATGGAACAACTGCCCCATCCATCAGTGTAGCCAGCTGCTGCTTTGGCCAGTGGCCTTGGGATAGAGGGACTGAGGGATAGAAGGGCACAGGGATAGAGGGATGGAGGAACAGAAATACACAGGGATAGAGGGATAGAGAGATAGAGGGACAGAGGGATAGAAGGACAGATAGATAGAGAGATGGAAGGAGAACGCAGAGCTGCCACCCCGGGTGTGGTGCTCACAGTGAGCAGGCTCCTGGTGTGTGGGGCTGACAAAGTTTTCGATGGAAGATGCATCAGGAAGTGAACAGTTTGGGTGTAATTCCATGGATTCAGTGCCATCTACTCTTGTGTGGGGCTCAACAGGCAGCCCTAATCTGCTTATGCAATGAAGCTTAAGTTAGCATCCTGAAAAGCCATCTGGGTTTTTGACATCTGTAGGTTTACTTAAAATTAGTTTTCTAGCTGGATTTCTTAGCAAAATAGTTCTAAGGTCACGGATCCGCTTATATTCCAACAGGGATAGATGATTTGTGTTATTAAGAAGCTTCTGCTTGAAATTACAGTGTCTTGTACAAGTTCTAGTAGGAGAATTAATGTAGGTAAAGGAATGGATTAGAAAAATTGTGCTGGCATTTATATTTAAAATAAGGAAAAAATATAAGTTCTTTATAGGCACAATGATCTCTGCTAATTGAAGAGAGGATGAACATAGGCTTTCCCTGAATTAGCAAAACAGACTCCTGATTTTCATATTTCTGAAATTTTTACTTTAGAGGATTGCACACTGCTCCCACACTTCAGCCAGGGTAGGGACCAAGAGGATAGGTACCATAGAAATTTTGGAGAATGAAAGTCCTTAGCAGGTGTCACAAAATCTTCTCTCATCAGTTCAATCCAATTGAAGTTCCTGGAAAGATCCCTATTCAGTTCAGCAGGCTTTGGATTTGGCTCTGATCGGTTTTGTGGGGTTTTGACACTGCCACAGATTCAGAGGGGGATTTTTCAGCGTCCTTCCCAGGTAAAAGCCAAAGCCACGGCTGTGGTGCCAGATGACCCTTTCTTGTCCAAGCAGTTCAGTTCTGCCTGGTGCTGGTGCCGGTGCCATGGAGCTCTGGCTGTGGATCTGCCCTGGCCCCACATCAGGGCTCTGCAGCTGATGCCCCTCACAGCAGGCTCCACCTGGAGCAAAGGAGCTCCCTCTCCACATCTCCTGAAATGATTCCATTCCCATCGTCCCAGAGCCCTTTCCTCTGAAACTTTGAGGACCAATAAAACTGACATCTGGCTTTGCAGTGGAGCATGGCATCTCCTCTGCAGCTGCTTAGCCATAATTACTTCTTTAGATGCTGCCAGCTGTGCCTGTGTAAGCATTAATCATCAGGCTGCTGTGAGCAGCTTAATGGGCCTGAACCTGGAGGTGTCTGACACAACCGGGGAGGCACAGGCAGAGGTGGTCTTTGCAGGGCTGCTCAGGAACTCCTGTCAAAGGCATGTTGGAGGAAATATTCTCAGCTGGAAATGGATGATTAGTTCAAAGGAGCAAGAATTCAGGGAGGAATGGTGTTTCAATACACCAAACACATTGTATGCTCCAAATAGCACTGGGAAGGAAAATGCCTGTGGTTGGCACAAAGATAAAGAGCATTTTTCACGTTCAAATCCATCTGAAAGTGGCTGAGATGGAGCGGAGGGGGTGGGAGCTGAGCAGCTCTCACACGGGTACAGTGTGTGCTGGGGAGAAATGCACCCTCAATATTGCAGGGCCCTCTGTCCCACGGGCCATGCTGTGCTCTTAGGGGGTGTAGGAGGGAGCCCCCCGTGGGGGAGGCTGTCCCAAACCAGCCTGCAGGGTGAGCCTGGCACCGCCAGCCCTGCAGGGTGAGCCTGGCACTGCCACCCTGGGCTGTTTGCTGAGAGAGCCTGGGCCGTGGGCACAACGGGCACTGCCAGGCTCCTGCCAGCAGCGCTGTGACACAGCGGGATGTGTGTGCCTGTGGGGCAGCTGGGGCCTCAGGGACATGCCAGGGATGGCATGGCATGGCATGGCATGGCATGGCATGGCATGGCATGGCATAAATCTGCCTGGCAGCCCCATCTGACACGGCTATTGCCCCAGCAGCCCAGAGCCATGTCCCCCTCTCTCTCTGACAAGGGCTGACAGCATGGTTGGTCTCATTTGGTGGAGCCTTTCCCTGCTCTGGCCCCTTCCCAGCTGCACACAGGGAGCAGCCCAGGCGGTGCGGATGTGCAGAGCGAAAGGTGAGGCGTTGCTGGTGCTCTGAAAGCCCAGAATGGATGAAGGATGCTCCTGCAGGCTCTGCTCACTCCAGGACCCCGGGGATGCTGCGCTCCCCTTGCTCTGGGCAGGGGCTGGCAGGTGTGCCCTGCACTGCTGGCAGGAGGCTGATGGGCAGAGATGTTTGTGAGGCAGGCTGCAGAGTGTCCTGGCATAAGCAGATGAATCCTCTTGGCTGGGGACGGGCAGCAGGAAGGAGAAATGTCAGGTGACATTCCCAAGGCCTGTCCTTTGGGCACCGTTCCCTGGGATAATCCTGGTGTCTGCTTTACCAGAGGATCCATTTGGGATTGCTGCAGCCAGCTGGGGCCTGTCACCGTGCATGTGTGGCTGAGCTAGAGGATCCCATCCTGATGTGCCTACCACTGACTCATAAATTCATTGTGTGGCAGAAATTTGACTCACAAAACGGAGCAGCCTTTGCACAGTGACACCCACAGCTGTGCTGTCAAACGGGCAAGATGTGGGAGAGGAACATCACCCAGTTCTCTGTAAATCACATGATCCAGGAGCTGCTTCTGTCTGGTTTAAAATCAGTGAAGATCAAAATGACCCCAAAGTGAGCAAAATGAAGTCTAATCCAATGAATAATGCAAGCTTCTTCCCCGCTGACAGGAGATGTTTCTGTTTCCAGGTAATTATTGTCATCATTGATGCCTGTGGTTCCTCTTGCCAAAGCAAACCCTCTCACCAGGATGATCATCTGCAGGTGGTGGGGCTGCAGCCAGCCAGGTCTGTCAGCCTGCTCATGGCTGAAGGACCTTGCTCCAAGCTTTTTTGCTCTCCCAATTTGTCAGGGCAGACTGAAAAACCTGCAGAGTTGTTGATTAGAGTTATTCCACAGATCAGAAATGCTGTTATTTATTGGAAACCAGTTTTGTCAAATCTGACTGTCAGATTAGGCCAAGAATCTGCTGCTCAGTGAGTAAGCAAAGCAAAACTTGACAAAAGAGCTGGCTGGATTGAGGGCTCAGAGTTTGTTCTGACATCTACAGACAGTGATGTTGAGGAGGCAGTGAGGATGCCTTTGGCTCTGGCCTGCTCTGCCCAGTGCTCACTGGTAACTCAGGTCACCCTGACCCTTGGCTGTGACCCCTATGGACTGCCCTGCTCCTGCCCACAGCTGTGCCCTGCTCCAAGCACCTCCTGGGCACGGCAGCAGCCCCCTGTCCCAGCAGCCAGGCAGGCTGCTGCCAAGGAGTAGCCTTGTCCCTCTGTCCCTCAGTCCCTCAGTCCCTCAGTCCCTCAGTCCCTCAGTCCCTCTGTCCCTCTGTCCCTCTGTCCCTCTGTGCCTCTGTCCCTCTGTGCCTCTGTCCCTCTGTCCCTCTGTCCCTCAGTCCCTCAGTCCCTCAGTCCCTCTGTCCCTCTGTCCCTCTGTGCCTCTGTCCCTCTGTCCCTCAGTCCCTCAGTCCCTCTGTCCCTCTGTCCCTCTGTCCCTCTGTCCCTCAGTCCCTCAGTCCCTCTGTCCCTCTGTCCCTCTGTCCCTCTGTCCCTCAGTCCCTCAGTCCCTCTGTCCCTCTGTCCCTCTGTCCCTCTGTCCCTCTGTCCCATGACTGGGGGAAGGAAGGGGCTTTGTGGCTGGTGAGATAAGCCAGCCCTGCCTGCAGTGTTGAGTGGCCTGCAGTTTGTGTTTTCCCTCCCTGCCAGGAGGGCAGTGTGCCAGGGGCACTGCAAACACCCCC